AAGGATGACCCAAGCAAAGAGATAACGTCAGGAGCATAAGCCTACGGTGATGACGTTGGCTTTTGGTGGGCTGACGTAGGCCTAAAAGATGCTGACGTACCTTTATGGGGCTGACGTAATATTTAAAGGGGCTAAAGTAGGCCCAAAGAGTGCTGACGTACGTTTAGAGGGCTGACATACCTTTGGGAAACTGACATAGCTATTTGGAGGTTGACGTTGTGGATTCCCAGATGGACGCTGTAAACGCTTCTGCGGCTCTTCACCTTGCACAGGATGTAAGGGGGTGCCCAATAAACTAGCCTCCTCCTGGGCAATCTAAAAAAAATCTTGTGGCTAACTGATAATGTAGCCACCACCCTCATCACCACCACTACACTCATCACCACCACTACCCTCATCACCACCACTACACTCATCACCACCACTACACTCATCACCACCACTACACTCATCACCACCACCATGAAAATAACAATACTGACAGCACTACTATACCAGTACCACAACACGTGTGCTGGAGCATCATCGCCACCAGTGTCTCCTTCATCACTGTAATCACCACCACTATTTTCTTCCTCGTCACCATCACCAGCATCACCACCATTCCTCCATCACCACCATTTTCACCATCTCCTCCAACACCACCAACATTTATCCATCACCATCAGCATCACCAGCACTTATCTTCTCCCTCACCAACAGACCAGCAACACCAACACGCAGGAGGAGGAGGAGGAGAAGGAGGAGGGAGGAGGAGGGAGGGAGGAGGGAGGGAGGGGCTGCCTTATTACAGGAGGGAGGGAGAAAGGCCATTTGGGACACACTGGCTCATGATGTCCGTAATGGAAAATGGAAACATCCTCACCCCGCTCCCTCCCTTCCTATCTCCTTCCCACCCCTCCCTCCCTCCCTCTCCTTCTCTCTTCTTCCATTCCTCCTTTCTTCCTTTCCTCTCTCTCCCTGCACTCATACAGTCACCCCCTTCATACCTCCCCTCCTCTCCTCTCCTTCTTTCACTCACTCCCTGGATACTCCTTCCCTCACCCAATTTCCTCTTCACCCCCACACGTCTCCTCTCTCTCCTTCCTTCCCTTCTCTCATTTTGCTCACTTTTCCCTTCCCTCTTCTCCCAACTCTCATCCCCTCCCCCTCCTCCCCTCCCTCCATATGCTCACACCTACCTTGTTTGGGAGTTCTGTTGGGAATTTTCGGCAAAAAATTGGCTGTTAGTTTCAGCGTGATGGGCGGAGTCAATTTTGTGTTCCTCTTCGTCTCTTTCGTTTTCAATTTTCTCCTCCTCCCGATTTTTTTTGTACGAATTTGTTTTTCGTGTTTTTGTTTTGTTTTTGTTTTGCTTTTAGTTTGTGTCTCTTCTTTAATTTTCTTCTTCTCTTATTATTACTGTTATTGTTTCTCCTTCTCCCTTTTTCTTCTTCTGTTATTGTTTTTTTCTTGTCCGTTGTTGTTGCTTTTGTTCTGTTTTGTTTCGTCTTGTTCTTGTGCTTCTTGTTCTTTTTACTTTTCTTCTTCTTTATCCATTCTTTTCTTCTCTGTCTTCCTGTGCCTCCATTTCCTCCTCTTCTTTCACCTCTTTCTTTTCCTCATTTTCTTCTTGTTTTTCCTTATTCGTCTCCTTCTCTGTCTCTCCTCCTCCTCTACCTCTTCTCCTTTAACCATCATCTACTCATCTCCATTTCCTGTTCCTTCTCTTCTTCCTCTCCCTTTTTTCTCCTCCTCCTCCTCTACCTCTTCTCCTCTATCCAGCATCTCCTCTCCTCTTCATTTCCCTTTTCATTATTCTCCATTTCCTTATTCTTTTCCTCTCTCCTCCTCCTCTAGCTCTTCTCCTCTGCCCATCATCTTCTCTCCTCCTCCTTTCCCTTCTCCACTTCCTCTCTTCTTATCCTCCTCCTCTTCCTTGTCCTAGTTAATGAGACACAAAATTTACATATTCAATCGCCGTTGTCGTATATAAATTGAAAAGGGAGTGTATGTAGGTATTTCTCTCCCTGCTGTAGGTAATGGGTTTCTTTCCTCACGTATTTTATTTAGCTCCAATGGGCTTTTGTTTTTGTGGTAATCGGGGGAGAGAGGTTTTTTTTTTAGGAGGGGGGGTGAGGTTTTTTTTAGGGGAGGAGGCTTTTTTTCTGGGGGTGAAGGGTGGGGGGCGGGCTTTATCTGTGGGGGAGGGAATTGTTTAAGAATTATTTTCGTATATTATCCATAATAGTCTCTTTTTTTTTTCTCATGAACGTAATGGTGTTGTTTTGGGTTTTCCTCGTGTATTTTATTTGGTTTTTATGACTTTTGTTTGGGTGGTAGAGTAAGTATTGTGGACTTTTATATATATCTTTGGAAAATAGTTTTTCTTGTTTTTTTCTTTTTTCAGAAGTTTGACACAGAGGTTTTACATTTTTTTTTCTTCTCGTCGTAGGTGCCAAATTGATTTTCCTGTTCAGCTATTCTGTGTAGAGTTTTGGGGTCTTTTTTGTGTTGTACTGTTGTGGGTTAATCTTTTTTTTCCACGGAAATTACGTGTGTATGTGTGTGTGTGTGTGTGTGTGTTGGGGGCTCAGTGTTTTACAAAAAGGTCTTAATTTTGTATTTACTTGAGATAGTGCCCATGTAATTATTGGCTTTTTGTTGTTGCCCAGGTAGTTTGTCAGCTTTGTCTTTTATTGTGTGTGTGTGTGTGTGTGTGTGTGTGTGTGTATGTGTGTGTGTGTGTGTGTGTGTGTGGTTTTATGAACTTTTGTTAATAAGGGAAGAGTTCAGTCTTTTTGGGTCGAGGATAAAATAATTTCTTTTGTAATCGACGAAAAACACATATTTTTTGAAGACAGAGAAAGAAATAAAGATAGAGAAGAGGGAGAGAAGAAGAGTGAGAAGAGTGACAAAAAGAGAGAGAGAGAGAGAGGGGGGGGGAGAGAGAAGAAGATAAGAGGAAGAGGCAAGAGAAAGTGGTAAAAGAAAAAGTTGAGATAGAGAGAACAGAGAGATGTAACGCTAGAGAAGAAGAGAGAGAGAGAGAGATAGAGAGAAATGGGAAAGACGGGCAGGAAAAGAATGAAAATGTGAGATAGGAAGATGAGAGAAGGGGCAGACAGGAGAAAGGGAGAGAAGAAGTAGACAGCAAGGAGATAAGGAAAGAAAAGAGGGACATACAGGAGACAGGGAGAGAAAAAGGAGACAACAGGGAGATAAGAAAAGAAAAGAGGGACAGACAGGAGAGAGGAAGAGAGAAGTAGAGGAGATAGAGACAGAAGACTCACGGTGTTCCCGGACTGGTCGCCCTCCCTTTACTATCTTATCTACGCTGTAATTCTTTCTGACCACGCTACTCCCCCTCTCCCTCCCTCACACCTCTCTCTCTCTCTCTCTCTCTCTCATTCCTTTACACTTCCCTTTCTTTTTCCCTCATACCTCCCTCCTTCCCCCTTACATCTCACTCCTTTACGCCTCTCTCTCCCTCCCTCACACCACATTCCCAGCCCTCACACCACATTCCCAGCCCTCACACCTCCCAGCCCTCACCACACTCCCAGCCCCTAATATTATTCTCTTAACTCTCGTCTGTTCCTCCTTGCTACGCCATCCACTTGCCCCTTCGCCTCACCTCATTGTAACCCTTCTGACCTCATTCATTTCCACTCACCTGTCATCTTACACTTGTCCCCTCAAATTTATCCCACTTGTCCCCTCACATTTATCCCCCACACATTTATCCCCTCATACCTGTCCCCTCACATTTATCCCCTCATACCTGTCCCCTCACACTTGTCCCCTCATTTATCCTCACCTGTCCCTCACACTTGTCCCCTCATTATCCCCTCACTTGTCCCTCATCTCTGTCCCCTCCCTTGTCCCCTCACATTTATCCCCTCTTACCTGTCCCACCACCTTGTCCCCTCCCACCTTTGCTCCCTCATACCTGTCCCCTCACATTTAACTCCTCACCTGTCCCTCACACTTGTCCCTCACATTTATCCCCTCACACACTTGTCCCTCCATTTATCCCCTCACACTTGTCCCCTCACATTTATCCCCTCACACTTGTCCCCTCACACCTCATTAGTTTCCCCTCGTGTCTCATCTACGCCTCATCACGACCTTTAAACCTCATTACCTGCCGATCTCCCTCACGTAATTAGTAGACCCTGTAAGTGTCATTTACTTTGATCACGTCTCTTCTACTACTCTCCCCCACTCCTTCCCCTCACTCCTTCCCCTCACCCTTCCCCGCCCCCCACCTCCCTCCCTTTTATTTCCCCTTACTCCGTCCCTCCTACTTCCCCCACCTCCTTCTCTCACTCCCTCCCCTCTACTTTCCCCTCACCTCCCCCTCACCTCCGCCTTCCCTTACTTCCTCACCAGACCAACTTTCCCCTTTGTCCTCTCCTCTTTGTATTTGCTATAGTTTTCACTTCTTCCTCTTTCCTTCCTTCTCCCCATCTTCTCTTTTCCATCTTCCCACTCCTCTCCTCTTCTTTACCCTCCTTTCGTTGCTGCTTTTCTCTCTTCCCTCTCCTCATTCTTCCTCTCTTCCCCGTTTACTCTCCACTTCTTCAACCCACATTTCCCCAATTTCTCACTATCTTTCTCCCTTGCCTTCTTGTTTTCTTCCCTCTTTGTCTCCTCTTCCTTCTTCCATACCCTTTCTCCACACTTTCTTTGCTCCTGGTGTGTGTGTGTGTGTGTGGTTTGTGTGTGTGTGTGTGTGTGTGTGTGTGTGTGTGTGTGTGTGTGTGTGTGTGTGTGTGTGTGTGTGTGTGTGTGTGTGTGTGTGTGCGCCGTGTGTGTGTGTGCGCGCGCGCTGTGTGTGTGCGTGTGCGCGCGTGTGTGTGCGTGTGCGTGTGCGTGTGTGTGTGTGTGTGTGTGTGTGCGTGTGTGTGTGTGTGTGTGTATATATATGAAAGGGGTGTGTGTGTGTGTGTGTGTGTGTGTGAGGAGTCAGGTAGTGGTCATAATACCACCATCAGCTCTGGGTAAGGTTACTACAGCTACCTCCTCCTGCAGTCTTCTGTTGCCTGCTGCCTCCCTGCAGTCTTCTGTTGCCTGCTGCCTCCCCTATAGTCTTCTGTTGCCTGCTGCCTCCTCCTGCAGTCTCCTGTTGCCTGCTGCCTCCCCTGCAGTCTTCTGTTGCCTGCTGCCTCCATCTTCAGTCTCCTGTTGCCTGCTGCCTCCCCTGCAGTCTTCTGTTGCCTGCTGCCTCCATCTTCAGTCTCCTGTTCCTGCTGCCTCCCCGCAGTCTTCTGTTGCCTGCTGCCTCTCCTGTAGTCCTCTGTTGCCTGCTGCCTCCACCTGTAGTCCTCTGTTACCTGCTGCCTCCCCCCAGTAGTCCTCTGTTCCCTGCTGCCTCTCCTGTAGTCCTCTGTTGCCTGCTGCCTCCACCTGTAGTCCTCTGTTGCCTGCTGCCTCTCCCTGTAGTCCTCTGTTGCCTGCTGCCTCCATCTGCAGTCCTCTGTTGCCTGCTGCCTCTCCCTGTAGTCCTCTGTTCCCTGCTGCCTCTCCTGTAGTCCTCTGTTGCCTGCTGCCTCCACCTGTAGTCCTCTGTTACCTGCTGCCTCCCCCAGTAGTCCTCTGTTGCCTGCTGCCTCCACCTGTAGTCCTCTGTTGCCTGCTGCCTCTCCCTGTAGTCCTCTGTTGCCTGCTGCCTCCACCTGTAGTCCTCTGTTGCCTGCTGCCTCCCCAGTAGTCCTCTGTTGCCTGCTGCCTCCACCTGTAGTCCTCTGTTACCTGCCTGCCTCCCCAGTAGTCCTCTGGCCTGCTGCCTCCACCTGTAGTCCTCTGTTGCCTGCTGCCTCTCCCTGTAGTCCTCTGTTACCTGCTGCCTCCCCTGTAGTCCTCTGTTGCCTGCTGCCTCTCCTGTAGTCCTCTGTTGCCTGCTGCCTGTAGTCCTCTGTACCTGCTGCCTCCCCTGTAGTCCTCTGTTCCCTGCTGCCTCCCCTGTAGTCCTCTGTTACCTGCTGCCTCCCCTGTAGTCCTCTGTTGCCTGCTGCCTCCCCTGTAGTCTCTGTTCCCTGCTGCCCCCTGTAGTCTTCTGTTGCCTGCTGCCTCCCCTGTAGTCTTCTGTTGTCTGCTGCCTTCCCCTGTAGTCTTCTGTTGTCTGCTGCCTTCCCTGTAGTCTTCTGTTGCCTGCTGCCTTCCCCTGTAGTCTCCTGTTCCCTGCTGCCTCCCCTGCAGTCTTCTGTTGCCTGCTGCCTCTCCCTGTAGTCCTCTGTTGCCTGCTGCCTCCACCTGTAGTCCTCTGTTACCTGCTGCCTCCCCTGTAGTCCTCTGTTGCCTGCTGCCTCCCCTGTAGTCCTCTGTTCCCTGCTGCCTCCCCTGTAGTCTTCTGTTGCCTGCTCCCCTGTAGTCTTCTGTTGTCTGCTGCCTTCCCTGTAGTCTTCTGTTGTCTGCTGCCTTCCCCTGCCCTGCCTTCCCTGTAGTCTTCTGTTGCCTGCTGCCTTCCCCTGTAGTCTTCTGTTGTCTGCTGCCTTCCCTGTAGTCTTCTGTTGCCTGCTGCCTCCTCCTGCAATCTCCTGTTGCCTACTGCCTCCCCCTGTAGTCTTCTGTTGTGCTGCCTTCCCCTGTAGTCTTCTGTTGCCTGCTGCCTCCTCCTGCAATCTCCTGTTGCCTACTGCCTCCCCTGCAGTCTTCTGTTGCCTGCTGCCTCCCCTGTAGTCTTCTGTTGCCTGCTGCCTCCCCTGTAGTCTTCTGTTGCCTGCTGCCTCCTCCTGCAGTTTTCTGTTGCCTGCTGCCTCCCCTGCAGTCTTCTGTTGCCTGCTGCCTCCCCTGCAGTCTTCTGTTGCCTGCTGCCTCCCCTGCAGTCTTCTGTTGCCTGCTGCCTCCCCCTGTAGTCTTCTGTTGCCTGCTGCCTTCCTCCTGCAGTTTTCTGTTGCCTGCTGCCTCCTCCTGCAGTTTTCTGTTGCCTGCTGCCTCCCCCTGTAGTTTTCTGTTGCCTCCCTTATGTTGCCTGCTGCCTCCCCCTGTAGTCTTCTGTTGCCTGCTGCCTCCATCTGCAGGCTCTTGTTGCCTGCTGCCTCCCCCTATAGTCTTCTGTTGCCTGCTGCCTCCTCCTGCAGTCTTTTGTTGCCTGGTGACTCCCCCTGCAGTCTTCTGTTGCCTGCTGCTGTTAGTGGTGCTGCTGCTGTTTTCTCACACAATACTGCCTACATCAGCAGAAGTCCCTCTCTGGAGCTAGGGGTCATTAGTACCTTCGTCAGCAGTGTGGTGTCGCTGTGGTCGTGTTCTGCAGGAGGAGACCCACGATTGTTTGTTTACCCGCACTGAACATTGCATTATATTTTTGCATTGTCTATATGCATGCAGAATCTTTATGTAAATTTGGCATGATGACTTACTGGTTATCTATCTATCTATCTATCTGTCTACTTATCAATCTTTGCTTCAGCTTTTGTTGTAAATGAAGTGTTGGGTTATTGTCTCACACTACACTAAAGCTCTTATGGTATACAGTGAGTTTCTTATGTTGTTTGTTGCGTAGGAATCTGTTTGGGTTGGTGAGAAAGAGAGCGAACACGAATGATTAACTGAAATGAGAGAGATAGAATAAGTGAAAAGAGAGAGAGAGACGGACAAACAGGCAAGTGGGAGACAGTGAGAGACATGCCATGAACATAAATCCGGGGTTGGAGGGTCAGCTGGTAGGTTGGCGATATCTCCTCAGATCTCGCCGCGTCATAGCCCTTTTGGCGGTCTTTATTGGCGTGTTCTAGCGCGGGATATTACGCCCTAATCTCACTATTTACTCTGACCGGCAAAACTTTAATCAGAAAGTTATTATGTAGATGCATGGCTGGAAGTGCTGTCATTGTGACTCAGCCTAACGGTAATGTAATAGAGAAAGGAGCTAGAATTAGTAACTGGTCATCCACTCTACAGACTGAACTATTTGCCAGACTCACAGCCCTGATGGTGATGGGTGAGGGGTGATGGGGGATGGTAATGAAGCACTTTCAGACAAACGGACGGACGCACAAAAGTACTGACAGACGAACGGACTGACGCGTAGACAGACTTACAAACGTACACACGGACAACACTTACACCCAGGATGAACAAGGCCGTACTCACCACCTAACGCCGGGTAATTCTCCCTTAAGCATGGCGCCTCACACTATCCATTAACAGTGTATCTTTATCAGTGACAAAACCGTGGGCGTAATCCAACCGTGGTTGAGGCTAATTGGTTGGGCGTGGGCGGGGGTTAGTAGGGAGAAGACGTGGATGAGGGAAATGAATCCGTTTGTGTATAAAGTGAAATTGGGTGGGTGTGAATGGGTGTTAATTGGGTGAGGGGCGTGGTTAAGGTTAATTGGATGGGCGTGGATGGTGTTAATTTTGGGTGGGCATGGGCTTTGGTTAATTGGGAAGGCTTGGATTAGAATAATTGGTGAAATTGGTTGGGCGTAGATGAAGGTAATTGGGTGTCGGATGAGGTGAAATGAGTAGGATAGGATGAAGTTAATTAAGCAGGTGTGGATGAGGCTATTTCGTTAGAAGTGAATGGGATGAATTGGATAAACTTCATCCCATCCACTATTTTCCCCATTTCAATCTTACACACCTCCCCCGATCTCTTCCAGACCCACCCATTCCCCATCCCTTTTAGACCCACCCATTTCCCATCCCCATTCCTTCCTCCAACTAAGATCCCTCCCATTCCTCTGCCATACGTGTCCATTCCTCATCAGGCACCCGATGATTCCCCCATCAAAAAGGATCCCCCATTCCCCCCACCCCCTTCCCCTTCCCCCTACCTGTAAGTCCTGCCTACTTCCCCTTCCCATTCCTCTCCCAGATTGAGGGAGAGGCAGACCGCGAGACAGAGACGGACGGTGTGGGAGGGGGAGAGACGGAATCTTGAAGTGTAATGGTAAATGTACGGCTCCCGTGGGTGAGAGGGGAGAGAGAGGGAGAGGAGGTGAGAGTGATGGTAGGTAGGGTGAGAGGGGGGAAGATAGAAATGATGGAGGGAGAAGAGTCGGGGGATGAGATGAATGAGGGAGAGGTGGGGGGTGATGGACAGGTGAGAGATGGTGAGTGAGATGACGGAGTGATGGAGGATGAAGGGAGAGTACAATGTTTTACACATAGACACAGGTGCTTATACAGGTACACATAGCCACAGGTGCTTATATAGGTACGCATTGCTACAGGTGTGTACTGAGTTATTAATAAAAATCCTGATGCAGTATAGGGAACTCCCCACCCTGTGAGGTAAGGAAGGGCATGTGTGAGTATGTGGAGGGAAGCGGCAGGGAGGAGAGAAAGAAGCACGAGGGGAAGAAGATTATAAGAGGGAAATTGAGTGTAATAAATGAGAGAGAGAGAGAGAGAGAGAGAGAGAGAGAGAGAGAGAGAGAGAGAGAGAGAGAGAGAGAGAGAGAGAGAGATCAAATAAATGAAATAACTAACAACACAAAGACAAACAAAGACGCAAACAAACAATGACAAACAAACACATGAACTAAAGGGGTGAAAACAGACAAGAAAATGATAGATCAAACAGAAGAGGAAACATACCTTCAGTAATGCCAATGGTGGGGTGAGGGGGAAGAAGAGGGCCTGGAAGCTGGTGAGGGGAAGATACTAATTAATTACAGCCAAGGAAGGGTACGACAGCATGTAAATAAAGGCGCCTTGTGTAAAACTCCTTAACAATATTGGATAGATCGAGTGTGGTGACCCGAGGAGGAGAGTAATTAGATACGAGACGAGGAGGTTGTGATCTAAGAGTGGAGGGACGGAAGACGTGGATAAGAAATGGAGAGTGATTTTGTGGGTTCGGATGAGTTGTATTTTAAGTTCAGATGTATTCTTACGTTCACTTGAGTTTCTTTTTTTAAATTCGCATAATTGTTTTTTTTTTTAAAGTTTAAATTGCGTCCTTATCAAGTTCAGGTGAGTTCTTGTCACGTTCAGATGCGTCCTTATCAAGTTCAGGTGAGTTCTTGTCAAGTTCAGATGCGTCCTTATCAAGTTCAGGTGAGTTCTTGTCAAGTTCAGATGCGTCTTTATCAAGTTCAGATGCGTCCTTATCAAGTTCAGGTGAGTTCATTACAAGGAAATCAAAATCACTTACGAAAAAAGTTCATTATAAGGTGTGAGTGACTTACCTGTGACTAAAGTAAAATTGTCTCCTTGTTAGGGATTTACTGATACTATTTACTATTTTTATTCACTATTTACCATTGACTAATTACTATTTTCTATTTACTATTGCTATTTACTGTTGCTACTCGTATTTACTAACGTTATTAATATTACCACTTACTATTAATATTTACTATTACTATTTATTACTAGAATTATTATTTAGGTGTTTACTGACCCCACTGGACCATCACTAGAGTAATAAAGAACTAGTCATTTCTTCTTAGTTATGAGTCTTAGGCCTGTAGTAAGTCTATTTTCCGCCTTAACTGACATGACGGATAAGACGATAACCTGTGTGACTTTCTCCATCCATGACAGATATTTTATGCTTTAATGTATTGTTAAATGATAAGTATTAGGGGGAGAACAATAGGGTCCATCGGATTCTGAATAGATCGAAGGTTGAATTTTTTACCCATTGAATTTATGATAGTTAAGAGATAAAAATGGCGTCAAGATTGTAATAAGACTCTACACTGGTTTAATATGTTAGAAAACCCCCCTCCCCCCCCTTTTTTTGACGTAAAGAGATGATAAATGAATGTTCAAGACGTTGCCTGAATTTCCTCGACTCAGTATCGCTGGTCTACGCCTCTGTCAACACTTATCACCTATATCTGTAATCTGATCGGAGGGGCGGCGGGTGCTGATTGGTTGGTGGAAGGTTGGCGGGCCCTGATTGGTTGGTGGAGGGGGTGGTAGGACCTGATTGGTTGGTAGAAGAGCGATGACACTTTCCTTGCTTGACAACAGGGATGAAATAGTCCCGAGGAAAGATGGAAATAGAGTCGACTGAGAGTTAAAAATAATCGATAGGAAATATATTTGCCAAATAAGAGATTGATGAGAGTAAAATATGGAATAAAACAGTCACACATTGATACCCGGAATTAAAAATGGAGTCGAAGCTACACTGAGACTCGACCACCGTTTAAGAACCTTACTGTTCTGCCGAGTATGTTGAAAAATAGCGTAAGTCTTTGAAAATCCTGATCCTTGAAGTTGGAGAAGGAGAATGGTGAGGCGTTTTCTAGGTCAAGGTGAGGTCGTGTAAATTTGCATACGACTTGAAGCTTCTTGTTATGAAACGTCTTAATTGTGTTACAGCGGCAGCAAGGGAGAGATACCTGGTGGCTGTACTTCACCTGTAAGGCTGTAATTAGGATTTTATTTATTGTTGTTGCTGGTATTATTAGAGGATTATTAGTGGTATTGCTATTTATTTATTTATTTATTTATTATTCTTGTTATTGTTGTTAGAGTTATTGTTCTAATTATTATTAATAGTAGTAGTATAACTATAACCCATAATAATTCACTTTACTATCGTCACAAGTTAAGTAATATAGTTGCAGGTTAGATCAATTACTGTGGGAATTCAACGATATATTACAAATGGAATATAATTTGTGTTATGTTATCCTTATATATGCACCCTTTACCACAGCTGGATGGTAGGTAACTGGTCCCTTGCCCTCCTCCTCCACTGAGAGAGAGAGAGAGAGAGAGAGAGAGAGAGAGAGAGAGAGAGCATGGTTAGTAAATCCTCTCAATAAACATAATATATTTATTGATATAACCATATTCAGTATATTATATAGGGGCTGAGGCTCACTCAACTCTAACCCCACCCCACCCCACCCTACCCCCAACCCACCCCACCCCCCCCACCCACTCCCCACTCAACCCACCCCCCTACCCACCCCATCCCTGCACCCATCCTCACCAAGATACTGTTCATTCCTGAATTACATTACGGCGAAAAATTATGAGGGAGTGTGTTTGGTGATAAACTTAACGCAATATTGGTTTTCCTTCATAAATAGAGTGGTGAACA